GGGGGGGCGGGGGATTAACTTATTTGGCAAACTTGTCTTTTTTATTTTTGGGGTTTTCTTTGTTTTGGTTTCTTTTTTGTATTTGTGAACAGGCACTGATGTCATTTTGTTTTACGATGATTACGGATTCGCAACCAAAATAAACTATTTTAATGTGTGATGAGGCGGCTCTGTGTTTCCGTGTACAAACTGCCCACACCTCCTGCGTCAGCTGAGAAATTCCAGGAGCGGTCCCAGCCGCTCCTGCCATAGGAGCTGCCTGGTTATCCCCAGCAGGAAATTCAGTCAGATATCCCCCTCCTCCCAGAAGGAGCCCCAGGCCAGCTTCAGCTGCCCTCCCTTCCTCCCTGCATTGTCCTGCCGCTGTGCCTTAATGGGAGAAACCTTTTACCAGTGACAGATTTGACATGAGCCCCGAGGAGCCAGGTGAGTAATTCCGGCTCTGAAAGCGGAGGCGAAACGCCAATAGCCTCATCTTTTCCTTTCCCAGGCAAACTCAAAAGCTACAGACACCAGTAAATGGGCTGTTCAAACCCATTTGCTACCTACAGTTGATCAGCTTTAAATTACCTTTTCTAGTGGTTAATGGCATTTATTCCTTACTGCAAAGCCCGCGTTCCCTGCAACTGGTTGAGGGGAAGAGGACACGGAAAGCCTCGGCTGAGGTGGGAGCGGCGTTGCCCCTGGGGCAGGCGGGAGCTGCCCTCACATCGTCTTCACTCTGGGGAGAACGCACAGCATCTCAAACAGCAGGTTTGCCGCCAGGAGGGCTGTGTTACCTAAGAAAAGATAAAAAGGGGGGGAAAAAAAACCCAAGCTGTGAATGCCCAACAGCTTTCACCCACGGTGGTCAGCTGCCTCTGTCGTGCACACCTCTTACTTTCAACCTTCTTCAGACTCACCAGAGACATCGTACATCGGTGCAACTTCTACAAGGTCACATCCCACTATGTTGAGCCCTTTGCAGCCACGAATAATCTCCAAAGCCTCGGGAGAAAAACAGATTTGCGATCAAGAAACATATCAGACCTAGCAGACTGGTCGGGGCTCTGCCTTCCCCATGTGCAGCTAAGGAAACCCAGCCTATGGAGACCAAATCACATCGGTTCAACATTTCCATTCCTCGTTACCACGATGAAATGCTCCCTGACCTCCCCAACCCTTCCCTTTGCTGCGCTGTCGGCACGGCCTCCTTTAATGGGAGCAAAAACATCCCCTTCCCACTGCGAAACGAAGCTGCGTCCCTCCCTTACCTGTGCAGGCGTGAGCCCGGCTATCTCCGGTGTCCCAGTGCCCGGGGCGTACGCGGGGTCTAGTCCATCGATATCGAAACTGATGTACACCGGTTTGTCCCCCATCTGCTTCCGCACCTCTGCCATCAGCGGCACCAGGGACTTGCTCCAGCACTCTTCAGCCAGGACCACCCGGAAACCCTGTGGGCGCACAGACACAGGGAAAGGCAGGCAAAGCGCAGCATCCCCCGCCCCGCCGGGGATTTGTGCCGGGATAAATCCTCATCCCAGGGCCAAACTGCAGAGCTGCACCTCGAAACAGCCTCCGCTCACCCCCACTTTCTTATTCTCCGCTCAGCTAACGGCTCGGTGCACCGAGAGCGTCTGTCCTGCCGGCCAAGCCGCCTGGCATGGCACAAGATGCCAAAAAGACATTTCTTTTCAAAAAAAAATATTCACGACAGGGGAATATTAATAGCAGGGAAAGAAAGCAGCGCTTGGTGCATGCCTGCGGCTGAGTTTACCTGGTCCCGGCAGTACTTGTAAGGATCGGGGTCATAGGAGGAGCCTCGAATGCCGATCTGGACCACACGGCTGCAGTCCAGCAGCCCTTCCTCCACACAGCGCCGGAACGGGGTCCCGTGGTAGATCTTCTCCCCCAGGGCTCTGTCTCCAGTGTCGGTGTGAGCATCCACGTGCACCAGCCCCACGGGACCGTGCCTAGTCGAGAGAGGGTGGCCCCGTCAGCCCCCATCCTGTGCTCTGCCTACACCGTGGACAGCAAACCAGGAGCCTTCCCAAGGCTCCTTCCCAGGTCCTTATTCTACATCTCCAGGTTAGAAACTTACTTTTCTGCCACAGCCTGCAGGATGGGGTATGTTATGGTGTGATCTCCACCTGCAACAGGACAGGGAAGAAGGTGTAACACACCGCAAGAGGTGCTCAGCGCTCATTATGTTGGTTCCCAGGGGATTTTCTCCCCGCTTTGCATCTACCCTCCACTTGTTTACACACCCCAGGGCTTTGTTCCTGAAGGAAAACCTGCGGCTCCCAGGTGCAGGTTGCTTCCTCGCCCCTCTTCCCTCCTCGGGAGCACCAGGGACGCATGACTGCTGGCAGGGGCAGCCCGTGGAGCGGTACCCTTGACCAGGGCTATTAACAGGTGCTTGATTCACTTCTGAGGACGCTGTAACTGATAATTTGCCCCATATTACTATATCCACCCGCTTCATTTAGTGATGCCAAGCTGTGACAGCTGGAAACTTGAACGTCCGCCCAAATCATGCCTCGTGCAAAGCAGCGGGTGCTCGTTCAAGCTTGAAGCTTTCCAGAGGGGCACAAACCGCTCGCGCTTTGGGTCCTCCTCAACAGGACACCAACAGCACACTGCCGACCAGATTTGCAGTGGAGCTTCAGTCTCTTGGCTGCCCCATTCTCCCCATTTTTGACACAAGAGGCATCGCTGATGGCACTAATTT